CTGCTGTCAGCTGTGACCCCGAGGATTATTTATTTGTGTTACTTTTGCGGCTCGTTGGGAGAAATGAAGCCAAGGAAAGCAGGCAGGGATGGAAGGAAAGGAGCCCAGCCCTGGAACCCCGACTGCCAGGTCAGGGTGGAGGTTCTGGTCTTGGAAAGGGCTTAAATCTGGGTTTAATTTAATCCCAGGCGTTTGGTTGCAGGAGGGGCCTGGCCTGCAGCCCCTCACCCCGACAGGGACACCAGTACCCGAGGTTGGTCTGAAACTGGGACCAAGGTGATTTATTTACTCCTCTGCTGACTGTCACTCCATAACCCCCCACTGAGGCTGGATGGGACCCAAACCCCCTTCCCAGGCACCCAGAGATTTCCCTGCACACTTAATTCCATGAGCCCTGAGCAATCCTGGGATCTCCAACACCTCTGCAGAACAGGGGGGTTCTGAGGGAACACCCTTGGGGGCCCTGGGTGGGCACCAAATGCTCCCAATCCTTGATTTTCTCTATTTTTTTTAAAGGTTGGCCACTGGGTCTACACTGGTTTTGCAGTGTTTTATACCAGTTTTGCCCTGTTATACACAAATGTACGTGGTTTTACAACATTTTTGTGGTGGTTTACACCAGTTTTGCACTGTTTGGTGTGGCCTTGCACCAGTTTTGTGGTGGTTTGCACCAGTTTTGCACCCTTTATGCACTACTTTTCACCAGTTTTGCACCAGTTTAATGTGGGTTTACACCAGATTTGTACTGTCTTACACCAATTTTGCACCAGTTTTACACCACTCTTACACTGTTTTACACCATTTTTTCACTGTTTCACATGATTTTACACCTGTTTTGTAATGGTTTATGCTAGTTTTGCACTGTTTTACATGGTTTTGCACCATTTTTGTGATGCTTTACACCGGGTTTTGCACAGTTTTACACCATTTTTGCAGATTTACATGGTTTCCCACTGGTTTTATGCTGTTTTTTCACCAGTTTTTCACCACTTTGCTCCATTGCACACCAATTTTTCACTGGTTTTACATGGGTTGACACCGGGTTTTGTACTATTTTACACCAGTTTTGCACTGTTTTAGGTAGTTTTACACCAGTTTTGCACTGGTTAACACTGGTTTTACACTGTTTTACATCAATTTTTCACTGTTTTATGGTTTTACATCAGCTTTGCACTTGTTTACACAGTTTTACACTATTTTACAAGGTTTTACAACGGTTTTGCATTTTTTTCCATTGATTTTGCACGGGTTTACACTAACCATGCACTATGTTTTACATAGATTTTGCACGGGTTTACACCAATTTTACGTTGGTTTTCATTGACTTTGCACGAGTTTACACGAGTTTTGCACTGGTTTATGCCAGTCTTACACCAATTTTGCACCGTTTTACATGGATTTTGCACGGGTTTACACCAGTTTTGCGCTGGTTTACACCAGTTTTACATAGATTTTGCACTGTTACACATAGATTCTGCATGGGCTCACCCCAGTTTCTGCACGGGTTTATACCACTGTTGCACTGTTTCCCACTGATTTTGCGCTGTTCCACGTTAAGTTTGCGCTGTTCCACGTTCATTTTGCCCTATTTCCCATCGATTTTGCACGGCTTTACACCGATTTTTACGCCAGACCCCTCCATTTCCAGGGCCAGCCCGCGGCCGGGGCGCCACCACCCCGGGCCATGTCCCTGCTCCTCGTGACACATCCGGGCTGGAAGCATCGCCAGCCCCCAGTGCCACCTGCGGCCTGGGGACATTCCCGTCCCCTCTCGTTTTTTTTTTTTTCTTTTTTTTTTTCTTTTTTTTTTGGGCCGGGTTCCCGCCCCTCGCACACGCGGCCCCGTGGGCGGGCGGTGGGTGTTGCGCGCCCAAGGCAGCGCTGCACGAACCTCCGAGCGCATCCACCGGGAGGAGGAGGAGGAGGAGGAGGAGGAGGAGGAGGAAGGGAAAAGGGAAAAGGAGGGGGAGAGGGTGGCGGCGGAGGGAGGGAGCAATTGAATTTCAAACACAAACAACCGCATGGGGCTCGGGCCCTCCGCCGCCGCGCCGCGCCGCCGCTGACCCCGGGGCCGCCGCCGCCCCCCGCCCGGGCTCCGCGCCGGGGGGGGCAGAGCAGCCGCTGCCTCCCCGCCT